ATGTTGTTTTACTGGATGCAGTGACATTTGACGTCCTGTGGAGTTTACTGAACTTGAAAACAAGGTTAAAGTCGGGGTCACTTTTATGCACTGTCAAATTACTCTAGTGCTGTAAATCATACGTCATGTCATTCCCATAAACTCGATTTAGAATAAGTACCGTATAATCAGTTATTTAACCCTGCACTGTGTTACTTTGGAATGGTGTTTGTATGTGGCACATGCATATATCTGTGCTTTATTTAATATAAGGCACTTTAAGGGGTTTGGGTTTTACAACATCATCATAATTAGATTAAAAGATCACGATGATTCACTCAAAATGTCTGATAAATGTCTGGAGGTCACCTGTTCTCGTCATTAATTATGATAATTAATTATAAAAGAAAGCCCCTTTTTTTATATATCTGATTGGATTAAGGACTGTCTTTGCCCGCCCATTTTGCACTGTAATCATGATACATGTGATCTTACTGTAAGTTTCAGACAGTGATTTAATCACTGTAAACCGCTGGTAAAACAAGCAAAAAGAAAAAGAAAAATAAGAAAAAGGAAAAAACGAAGCGAGAACGCAAAAATAAGTATCTTGTAAATATTTAAATTAAAAAACATTATTATTTTTTTTTTACAGATTAATAGCTTTTTTCAGCGCTTTGCCGCATTAAAGTATATAAAGTATCTTATATAGATACAAGATTTGCATATTTAGAATTTAATTTTGTTTGTTTTACACACACACACACACACACACACACACACACACATATATATATATATATATATATATATATATATATATATATATATATATATATATATATATATATATAAAAATGTTTGTGTGTGTGTGTGTGTGTATGTGTATACGTCTAAATAACTGATACTTGTTGCCTCAACTGGGAAGTTGAATAAAATTTACTTATTATATAATCATGAACGATAACTGCTCTTTAATGTTATTAAGCAATTATTCATTAATTTTAAACACTTGCTGTTTGCTGTTTTTAATTAATATTTTACGACTTTGAACATGATTACATATATTAATCATCTTTACATTCATTTAATATACCCAAGCTAATGTTGTATATTGTTAATATAAGTGTAGTATAAGTATAAAGTTGTATAAGTAATGTTGCACCGAGAATTGTAATGACGTTCAATTTTATCGGATTGTTTGGCTTGTTAAAAGCAAACAGATTTTGTTTTCTTTTTATATTTAGAGTAGGCTAAATAATAATAATAATAATAATAATAATAATAATGTTATTATTATTAATAATATTATTATTGTTGTTGTAATTATTATTATTATTATTATTATTACTATTAGGCTACATATCGCGTTCATTGTAAAATTGGTTATAGGCGACCACTTTCTTTTGTATAGCCTACTGGAGGACACCTTAGTAAATAGGATAAACATTTAAAATCGATTTATTGATTTGTCACGTGTAGGAATAATAATAAACCATTTTGAATTAAAATCGGTATGGTGAATTGGTTATTTGCGTTGGTGTACGGACTTTCGAATAATCTCCAACTGATCCTCTTTAAACAATCAATTAACACTTTCAGCTACTTATTCCATTATAAGTGTTGCTGTAATTGTATCTTTTCACTCTACTTTCAATTGAACGAAACTGATCCGCTAATGTAATCCAGAATCGATTGTTGCATATTTCAATCATCCCCTGCCCAAAACGCCTAGAGATCGGAGAGTCTAACAGATAACAATAGTCTATATTTCTTAGAAAAGCTTTTTTTCTGAAGTTCGCCTCTGAAATCCTGAACTACGCATTCGATTTCTTTTAATTGTAGTTTTTAATGTAGTGAGGTGACTTTTACACTAAACACATCTATAATAGGACAAAACAATGTTATTGTATCTGTATAGTAACATACTGACTACTGTATGCTAAATTATAAACTTATTTTAAGGACGCTGCAATTTAAATAATAATAATAATAATAATAATAATAATAACAATAATAATAATAATAATAATAATAATAATAATAATAATAATAATAATAATAATAAACACTGCGTAATAAAATTATATTCAATGATTTTAAACAGTTGCATTTAATCAAGGGTTGCTTGCTGAATGTATGTATTCATTATTGAATATTACCTTAAATTACTCATTGTTCATTTTAAAAAAACAATAGTTTTACATTTACATTCTTCGCCATTTATAATAATTATATAGTTATAAAAAAAAAAACAATACAACTCATCCCAGAATAATTGTTTTTAACGAACCGTATTTGGGTAAACATTATAATTGCTGGTTTATTAGTGAAATGTCATCGCAAAACACTGTAATTGTGTTTGTTTTTAAATTACCATCACCCTGTCGTGTTAATATTTGACTCTTTATTGATCTGTGCCTCTGTTTCATATGCATTAGTGCTCAGGTTTGCATTAAAGTAAAGGGGCTCTAAAACTGTTCTCTACATAAGAAAAAAAACGCAGGCGCCCAATTAACGATTCAAGGGGAAAGATCAGGAGCAAACGTCTTAAAAATGAATATTCTTTGTGAGTGAGTGCACAAACCCCATTAAGAAATGTTAAACGGAATATTTTGTGATCAATATTTGCTTCATCGCCGCTGCCTTTTCACTGTCTCTTTTTTATGATGTAGAGTAAATTGATGTGTAAATAAAACGTATGAAATCTTTGAAGATTTGTTGAAATTCATTTATTGATTTTTCTCACTCATATGCATTGGCTCAGTTTAGAATTTGTACATTTATTAAATATTATTAGTTTCACCAGTCGCAAAAATTTATTTAGGACGCCCAATGCGGGGTTTTTAATATTTTCAACAAATATTTCCAACACTTTTGTATACAGTTGGAATATTTACTAATTCGGTTTTCAGAGGCAAAAAGAGACGCTTTAGGTATAGGCCTTAACAGAAGATCCCTCCATCACCCCCACACATACACACACACCGCTGCGCACGTCACGGAGACACGAGTGCGAATGAAAAATATCGACCACTATGAGAATGTGCGCAGATGTGGCTGGCTGCTAAATTTCGTGCTTGAATACGATCTTTTTCATCAAATTAATGGTCGATGGTGATAATGCAAAGTCTGTGACCACTGTATGGCTTGCCATTTTTGTTTATGTGAAAATAAAGGATGTCGTGAGCCTGACAGATTATTTCTCTGAAATTCTTAATGTGTAATTATATATTTTAGATTCAGATTTATTTGTGCATTAGTTTATTTGTTTTTATATTTTCAACTTAGTTTCATTTCACTTCTGAAAACTTTATGTTTTGCGTAGTTGTCAACATTTATTACGATAGTAATCATAAAATCAACATTTTATTAGTACATTAGCCTATTATTATTGATATAATTATTTAGAATTATGCGATACGTATTATTCATCTCTTGTTACATTAACCACTTGATGTCACATCTCCAGTCCTCAAATCCACAAATGATCCGTGTTGACTTCTAATTTGTTGCAATTTAACTTGATCATTTTTTTCTGTTCTTCTTAACTCGTTAATCCGAATGGCATTGTTCTTGACCCTGACAGATGCATGTGTGTTTTGTCACTAAGCAGGTCCCTAAGAAACAAGGAAAAGTCTGAAAAAGTTAATCTCTCTCCCTCCCCCGCAGCTGTTAGCTTCAGGAGTCTTGAAGCGTCACCTTTGACATGTCCCCTATATGCGCACGAGCGGGGGGCCCAGGGCTGGGGGCCCCAGGACTGACCACTGCAAGCTGTCACCCCACCCGGGCTTGGACGCTTTCGCCGAGGCTCCTAACTGTCCGGTTATCCCGTTCTCTCGCCTGACTGGTCATGAAACTGACTTTTTGGAGTCGATTTTAACTATAAACAATGTGAAGTCGTGCAAAGTGATATCTCTGTAATATGGGCGTGGGGGTGTTCAGGGGGGCTAATAACTGCCTAGCTCATTTTTGTTCACTTTAAAAACTTTTGCGTATAAATAATGTCAATTTATTAATTATTACATTTTAATCTCCCACCTATTTTAGCCTATACAAGCTACAGTAATTGTATGTACATTTATCTATTGGTTACTCGCATTTTATAAAGTCGCACTGTGGCACTTTTGTTTCTCAATGGAGTTCAATTGTATTCATGGAAACCTGTATATCCAAGAAAAACGAATGCATGTTTATCGCACTGATTTGCAGGATAATCGGGTTTTGCCTATTAATTTATGTGCAAAATGAAGTTCACCCATGAAACGTAATGTGCTGTGTCATTATACTGCCAGGCCACGGAAGCGGGACACACTCCTGATGGCTTGGTTCGTTACTCTTAATAGCACAACAATAGAAACATCTGTCCAGCCTTTCTCCGCCTATTACCAATAAGTCTGTCCTTGAACTCAAAAACACTCCAACTCTGCATGAGACGAGATGAATTACATTGAATAATGTGTATTTGTATGATTTTCTGAAAATAAAGAAAATGTTTAAATACCCTGTGCAGTTCGTCCTTCCTTATTTAGATTGGATGTGATGATGATAATGATGTATATTTAATTTTGTAGCTAAGCCTAGTATATCTGTAAATACATGTAAACAATTCAAAGAAATTTGAAGATTAAGGGATTTGATATGCATATTCATGCAAGTGAAGGCCCCCAGGTGAACCCGGAAGTGTGTTTTCTTTTTCCATTGAATTAAGGAGGTTCTTCCAAACTAATTACCTTTATACATGCATTATTCAGACGCACGATGCTTCATCTGATGTTTAATCAAAACATATGCAGCTTAACACTTCATTCCAATCCATTTCACATCTTTTATTATTTTCTAAGCATAACAGCTTGTGTAAGGTTGTTCATGCTATACATCCAAAAGGAGGCATTTTTATTTAATAGCAATGGGGTGCAACTTCCTTAATAAGTGACGTAAAAGGAGTTGGGATCAGCGCGCATGCGCGGGAAAGCAGAGCAGCAGCCGCAGCACGGATCAGTGCGCGAAACAACAGCAGACATGGCAAGAGATGGCGAGGGACGCGAGCACACCGACACCATGCACTGCTGAAGGGACGGGGGCCTTAACATTTAGAAAAAATATTAAAACTTTATAAAACATAGAAAAAAGGGAAAAAATAGAAAAGAAAGCAAAGAAAAATTACTCCATATAAGAACAGAACTTTTCCAATGAGAGCACTTCTGTGGACACTGCTCCGCTATATCAGATAGATGATTTGTCCACAAGCTTGCACGTATAATGAACGCCCAGCTGTCGATGGAGAACATTGGCGATCTGCACGGAGTGAGCCATGAACCGGTCCACAGCGCGGCGGATCTCATGACCGGAGACAGCGCTCATCACAGGAGTCATCGGAGCAGTCTGTCAGCCCATGCGCGCTCCATGGGCATGGCTTCAATCCTGGACAGCGGCGACTATCATCACCACCGGCCCCCGGAGCATCCCGGGCTCGCCACGCACCTGCACCCGGCCATGAGCATGGCATGCGAGGCTCCCCCCGGGATGAGCATGAGCAGCACCTATACCACCCTCACTCCGCTGCAGCCTTTACCGCCCATCTCCACCGTCTCCGACAAATTTCCGCACCACCATCATCATCACCACCACCACCATCACCACCCGCACCAAAGGATCCCGGGGAACGTCAGCGGGAGCTTCACCTTGATGAGGGACGATAGGGGTCTGGCTCCGATGAACAACCTCTACTCTCCCTACCACAAGGATGTTGCCAGTATGGGACAGAGCCTTTCGCCCTTGTCTGGATCCGGACTGAGCGGCATTCACAACTCGCAGCAGGGGCTGCCGCCGTACGCGCACCCCGGGGCCACCATGCCCGCCGAGAAGATGCTTACACCCAACGGATTCGAGGCACATCACCCCGCGATGTTGGCTCGACACGGGGAGCAGCACATGAGCGCGTCTTCGGCGAGCATGGTGCCGATCAACGTCATCCACCATCACCCGCACGCCCATCTCAACGCCCAGGGCCACGGACAGGTGCTGGGCTCCACTCGGGAGCAGAACCACTCCTCCGTTCCCGGATCGCAGCTCAACAACGGTAGCAGTTCGGGTCAGATGGAAGAGGTCAATACCAAAGAAGTGGCCCAAAGGATCACCACTGAACTCAAAAGATACAGCATTCCACAGGCCATCTTCGCCCAGAGGGTGCTGTGTCGCTCGCAAGGGACGCTTTCGGACCTGCTCCGGAACCCTAAGCCCTGGAGCAAGCTCAAGTCTGGTCGGGAAACCTTCCGTAGGATGTGGAAATGGTTGCAGGAGCCTGAGTTTCAGAGAATGTCCGCGCTCAGGCTCGCAGGTGAGAGAACAATAGGTAATACACACTTCTTCTCTTATCTTCAGTGTATCACCCTCATTTCATCACAACACTTCATATTAGTTTCCATTCAGCGTTCATGTTTTGTTTGCAGCGCTTTTTGGAGGTTGGATATTAAGCTTTTGTCAGGTTATGCGGTTTTATTTCGTGCATCATGTGTCACTTTTGATTTATATTGATGCATTCAAAATTGAGCTTGTGCTTCTCGATGTTAAATATTGACCACCTAGGTAAAGTGATCCCGTGTAATGAGTTTGTTTTGCTTTGCTTGTTTGTTTAGGCCTGTTTGGCCGAGTAACATGGAAGAGCCAACAGAAAATAGTTTGATGAGAAATGTGCGTCTGCAAGGCTCGGTGACTACAGTCCCATTGTCTCCACGTGAAAATGGATGCAGCGTCCCAGTGTCCACCTGTTTTTGCAACACGTTTATGACCTCCATATAAATTTTTATTTATAACAGTAATGCTTGAGGTCAAACACAGTTGCAAGTCTCTTGAGTATATTTTTGTTTTAAAAACGGTGTGCGAAAATACGTTACGCGCACTGCTGAGCCCGTCTTTGAATACGTGTCGCAGTGTGTGTTTGGGTTTGCAAGAAAAGGACAAGTCTTTCTTCTGTCTTGTCCTAGCTGGATCTCTTCATCTATTGTCCAGCTATAGTGACGTGGTCTCTATGTAGGTTTTCTTAATTAACTGATTGGGGCTCCATTAATTTGCCTCACGAGAATTAGAATCAATTGGCGGGCGGCTTTAGGGGCCACTGATCCGTTCAAATCCAGCAGTGGAAAAAAAAAGAGCATCTTAAATATGAATGTCTCTTTTATGCACAGCTATATCAGTTGTAATAGCAAATATAATTCATTTAAGCACCTGAAATAAGGCTAAACTTGACAAATGAAAATACTTTCTTGGCCGAAAAAAATAATAAGAATAGTTTGAATGAATTATGAGGAGAGGTTTATGAAGGTTGTACATTTAGGCTCTCTCTTTGTGGTTGTCGTACTTAGCACTCTTATTTCTTTAGATATGGACGTTTTTTTTTACTAACAATGTCATAGTTTTATGCTATTATATGTGCATAAATGTTAAGCTCATGTTTGTTTGGGTTTGGATCCCTATTCGGCCTTAGCTTTTGCTCCAATGTTTTGCAGCTCTCGTTGTAATGGTCAAGATATGTCTTTACACCATTCTTTTTTATTTACAAACGTTTGTAAAAAGCAATCTTAGAGGAAAATAATTTTTTCTAAAGTGTCCTAACTATGCGCTTTTTCGTTTTACTTTTGTTGTTACTAAAGTGAAACATTCCGAAACAACTTAAATCTTTTCGAATTTTCATTATTATATTTATTATTCGTTATTAAAATTAACAATAATAATAATAATAATAATAATAATAATACATAAAATTAATAACAAATGTAATAACAAACTATTAAACTTTTCGTTGCTCCTCAGCGTAGTAGCCTTTATATTTCGGTTTAGTGAAATTATTTCTTATTCAGTTAAATGATATTTAAATTAGTTAAGGTTCCAGACACAGTGATGTATATTATTGATTGAGTACACATGGTTGAGGGTATGTGATCGGACTACTGAGAGGTAAATATAGAATTGGTATATTGATTATTCAAATTCAGTTCCCTTCTCCTTTTCCTTAGTAACGTAAGACAGTAGACCCACTCAGCAGTCTTTCAGATCACTGCTCTTTTACACCTTTTACACACTCGTGATTTTGTGCAGTAAATTTGTGGTTAATGCTTCTATATTCAACTGCGTTTTGATTCAGCTTTTTGTATGTTTTAGCTTATTATTGATTACCCTAAATTTTAATTTTGTTTTGCGTAAAAAGTATTAGGATCATTGGTCTAATTGTATCTAGAGAAAAAATAGCCTTCCAGTGTTCTTATTGTATATTTAGGCTATTTATATTTGCGTATAGTTTTGATATTTAAAAAAAAATGCGAATTTCTCAATGACATATTCAATGTTGTAGTAGCCCAAAAACTGGGGACAAACAGCGAATATTAAGGTAATGAATATTAAATATTTTTCTCTATAATATATTATAAATGGTTTAAATTTAAATATTAAAATTATTTTGCAAACTTAAAATATGCAAGTCCGAAACCAGATTTTTGCGGCTTCGCTAAAACTTTACAACTATCATTCAACCATGTGATCAATAATTATATTTAGTTTAGTTAAATTATCAATAATTACATGGTTTATGTAGGCTATATTTTAAAAAAATGTAACAAAGCACCATATAGGTTATTATTTTAGCTTCTCTGTTATTAGGTCTATTACTGCAATATTATAAGTAATACATAATTATATGCTATACTTGTTTGGTAGCCCAAATCATTTTTGAAAACGATGTGGCTACAGCATAAGATTATGCTGTTTTGTTGCTGGAGCCACAGTGAAATGAGTGACCATTGGCGCGCCCTCGCCCTCGTGTGCGCGCTTATCTGGCGCCTGTCTAATGATTTGCAGACAAACAGTACATATATGTGATGATCAAATGTGCTGAAGGATAAAGAGCTTCACAGTTACTTTCCTGGGAATCTGCTGGTCTCGTCACAGTGGCCTTGTTGTGTATGGACAGATTTGATTTATGACACATGATAGCAAACTCATTTGCTTTTTGTTAATATTTACCTGAAAGTTTCAAACTGTTTTCCATGTGCATAGTTTCGTTCTTCTTTTGTTGCGTTATAGCTATTTGATTTACAAATAAATTAACAAACAGGCTAAATAAAATAAAACACAATATACTATAGCCTAATTAATAAAAAAATAATATTTTGATATCGTGTGTTTTACGCATCTTGTGTAAGTATTAGTTCATTTTTAACACATTAGAAGAATTTTATCTTTTAAAAGATAGCTTTTCAAATAGGCTAATGTATTTCTTGACTGTGCTACTTTAAATAAGCAATGTGTTACAGAATGATATATATATAGCTTGATGCATATGCATATTCATAGCTTGAGTCGGATTATTTGTTTAAGTAGACTGCATTTGATGAATCCAATGTGCGTGCGTGCGTGTGAAGTAAATACCTGCTCAAGCAGTTTCCCACCATCTATTAGCGCCCTCTTGTGGTTTTCTTAAAAACAGCAACCTTGGGACTTTTTTAAAACATCAATGGCCTTCGTTTAAAATTCGCTTTAAATAAGTTTTTTTATAATTCATATTTCTTAATTGGTATGCAATAATTGATTGATTCACCCTCCAAAAAGCATTTGTGTTTTTTGTCTATTTCATGTCAGATTAAAAAAAAAACATTTTAGAAATTTACAGTATGTCTAAACGAATAAATCATTCTATTTATACGATATCCACAAATGTCTGACTTTTGCATATCGACATTTTGTTTTTTCAGCGTGCAAACGAAAGGAGCAGGAGCACGGTAAAGGCGAGCGGGGAAACATCTCCAAGAAGCCCCGGTTGGTCTTCACCGATGTCCAGCGTCGGACTTTACATGCAATATTCAAAGAGAACAAGCGTCCGTCCAAAGAGTTACAAATCACCATCTCTCAGCAGCTGGGCCTGGAGCTCGCCACCGTCAGCAACTTTTTCATGAACGCGCGTCGACGGAGCCTCGATAAGTGGCTGGACGACGGCAGCTCCAACTCGGCCAACTCCTCCTCCTCCAGCACTTGTACCAAAGCATGATGGAGTAACGGCTGCATTGTGGGGAAAAAAAGAAAAAAAAAACTTCGGTGGAAAAGCTTTAAACAAAGAAAACTTAACAAAAGACAATTTTAGACAGCGTTTGCCCTTAAAACTTGTACAGTACCGATATTTATAATATCCAAAGAAAAACACCAAAGACTGCTTTGACCTGCATTTAGGACTTTGTTCGTTTAGCCTATGTCTGACATTCTGCAAAAAAACAAAAAAAAAAAAGAAGAAGAAGAAAAGAACTTACACTCCAATCACTGGTCGTTCCCCACTCTTCCCCATAACCTGCGTCAAAAACATTTCTTTTTCGTTAATGTTCATGTGATTTTAAGAACTTTTTCTCATCAATGATTGGTGATTATTTTTCAAAAATGGAGTGATTGTTATTCACTCTGATGTCCGATTTTGTGACGTCACATACTCACCTCTGTGTTTTTAGGTATCCCAAATCTAGCCAGGGATGCCAAATACAATCAGGTGGTGTAGAATCTTGACAGTTTTCCTGAATGTCACCCTCAGGATAGTGCTTTCTTCCTAATTGCTGGAAAAGTCACATAGGAACCCAAAAATACATGTGAACTTGCCATCTCCACGACTTATCGATCAATCAATCACAGATGGTAGAACCAAAGAAACACGTGTATTTAATTTATTTATCTATTTATTTATTTATTTATTTGCTTTGCTTTATCAGACCAAACTATGTTGATTACTCTTTATCAAGACACCCAGTTACAGTTCAAATCAGGTGACTATGGACTGTGGGTTCTATAGCCATTCGACATATAATTAGATCTCTTCTTTGTCCCAAAACTAACTCAATCAGTCAGACACATGTCGGGACACAGCTTATCTCGTCCTTCAGTCTTGTGATTATTTCAGGGAGATTTTTGCTAGCTTTAACCTGCCTTTTTTACCTGTATTTTTAAATGCCAGTTGCTGAAAACCAAAGATAATGTTACACCAACCAGCACCTGTCATTGTTTCATATACACATCCATCCATAAAGCACAGCTACACGGGAGATATTATTTAAAAAACTACTCAGCACAGTGTTTTGTCATTTAGTATAGTTAGCTTTGTCTGGATCCTGTTAATTAGTTTGAAAGTTAGGTTGTTTTGTGTTATACAGACTTTCATACATCACTTCTTAACCCTAGAATGTCAGTGTAATGAGTGTGGCTGTCAGCATGCTTTCAAAAACTCAAAACCCATCTGCTGTCATGTATCATATCCCATTAAGCTCACTTAGATACTTTTTAATTTCTTGATAGAAGGCTATTTCATTGTCTAATGCATCATTTTCATGGCACCGACCATCAACACCTCCGCAGTGTCCCCCATTCAGGCCCAATACCCTTGTAGAGAGAGGGAGCGCATTCTATGCATTTCACAACTAGGAAGAAAGCATTATGGAGACCGAAGAAGGGTGATGCGTTCGCTTCATATAACAGACTCACTCAAAACTCACAAGATATCTGGCCTTGTTGTCTCTTGTGGTGTGTTTTAGCTTTAAAAAATATATTTGGTATTTACGACTATTACAACATCGAAGCATATATAAAAGAGCGCTGCTTCCTCATGTAGAAAAGAAAAACAAATGACCAAAAAAAAAACATGTTAAGACCTGCTGATATTTATAGTGTGAACCAAAGATGCTACCTCAGTCCGTTTCCATTCGTGATTTCTATCAAAGTAATGATACCAAAGAATACCAAAGATTTGTTCTCTTTGCACGGCCTAAATGAATGATATGGTGGATGAATAGATGGTGTGTTTCCACTCCTTTCCTCTCCTCTCCTTCGCTCTAATGCTCTCCTATCACTCATCCGTGCTCATGTAACAGCGCCCTCGGCAGACATGTGTTAAACTCACAGGACGAGTGCCTTGCTTGAACCAAAGTGTTAAACCGCCGTTGACCTCTCGACACCCACCTTTTAACTCTCGGAATACCTCAGCCTGTGGAAGGGCCACTGATGAAGAAAAAAGTGGAATATTTCTTCTCTCTCACCGTGGTGCTTTTGCCAGCGCAACCATGCAATGAAAACATACCAAAGGAATTTCTCTTGCTTTCTCCAACTCTTTGCTGACATACCAAAGCTCCTTTTCACCGCCCTGCCAAATCTGCCGCTTGCCCCGCCTCCCCCTCGTCACATCACCAGTGGGTGTGTCCACCGATTAGGCCGTGCACATCTTTACCAATATCTGAATACCTCATAGTAATAAATTTTCACAGTTCTGTTGTATAGAGAGTTTATGTGATTAAGACAGAACTGAACTAGTTTGGTAAATCGTTGATGTTACTTCGGGAAAAAAGCTTTATGAGTATTTATTTTGATGGTTTTGGCTAAAGTGCTCAGTTTTGGTCACCAAAGGGCAAGTTTCTGTGATAGCAGACCGAAACTTGCAGGAAGGAAAAAAAGAAGCTTATTTTTTATTAAAGCCTTGTGTTATTCCGATACTTTAAGGATGTTTGACTATTCTTTTTTACAGGGTAAAACCAACTGCTGTGATTCTGTGTCTATTCGTTCACTTTCTTCTATACTGTGTTGTGATTTCCGTTTATTTAATTGCATTTTTTTCTTTTTGTATCGCTTAACCTCTGTTTTAATTTATGTATTTGTAGAAAATATAGATTTGTACATAGTAGGTTTTTTGAAAAAAAAAAAAAAAAAAAAAACGTAACAAAAAAAATGGACATTCATTTTTATTTTACAGCCTTATGTCTGAAGTGTAGATATATCGATGAATTTCCACTCCTCTATGTTTGTATGTTAGATGGCACTTTGGCCCATGTACGAATACACTGCCAGAGATCCGAACGGTCACCCACAGAGACCCGCAGAGGACTGACCTCATAGCGGCAACAACAAGCAGTGTGATGTTTTGTTTTATGTTTTTTTTTTTTATTTAAATGTCCAGAATGATTTGTCTTTGTATTACTAATCATTGTTTTATGGGTATTGCTGCACATCCAAAGATTTTCTAACCAAACCAAAAAGTGGGAGGGAAGGGTGGGGAGGGGGATAACGAAAGAAGTAGCGTAATTTTTGCATAAGCACTGGCGTTTGTGAGGTCAATTGCTGTCTCCACGGGTATGAACCAGTAGTGGTCATAGAGGGACAATGTAGACAAGCTTTAGTTCAAATTACTGGGTGACATATACTGCTAAACAGTACAATCTGTGGCTTATGGGACTGAGGGCTACAAGTCCTGCTCACTTTGCTGTGTCAGACACTTGAGTGGGTGGAGCATGGGCGGGGCAGCAGGTCTGCCATGGGCGGGGGCCACGTCGCTGGGTTGTTTTTTTATATGACGTGGCACAGCCGCCTAGATCCATCTGATGTTAACTTTGGTTGGAACATGTGTACTGACAATGAGCAAAGTCTAATAAATTTGAAAAGAAAACAGGAATTGGTGTGTGCATGTGTTGGGAAGGGTGAAAGTGTGAGTTTAATGTTGTATCTTGAAGCTGATTGTAACTTCTGATCCACTAGCAGTACCAATCGGAATTCTGGAATGAGTTTCAAACACTCTTTCCAAATTAACGATTAAATAATTCCAAATTACCAAATTAGAGATGCCTGCTTTAGGGATAAACCAGCCTAATCTCGCAAGAAAACGTAAGTATTTTACGTTTTGTCAGTTTAGCGACGAAATCGTACGAGTTTAGTTGTATGAAATTGTACAATTTTAAAAAGGAGGTGTGGCATCTAACCCCACCCCTAAACCCAACCGTCATTGGAGGATGAGCAAGTCGTTCTAAATTGTATGAATTAGATTGTACGAATTCTTAGGAATTAGCCACTAAATCAAAAAGTTATGAATTGCTGTGAGATTGTGTTGGATAAACTGTACTTGGCCTTTCTCCTAAACTCTTTGGACACGATCGATGTCAAAAGAAGTATCAGTGGTAGTCGTCAGACAATCTGATGGATTATATTTGATAAACAATTAATAATTTGCATAAATTTGGCACAATCCGATTTGTCCATTTGCATATGATTTTCTCATGCCCCAAAAGCCTTATGTTTACTTTTATATTTAGGGGTAAATCTTTTATGTTTACTTCTTACTAAAAATTGTACATTTTTATATAAATACAATTGTACAAATACGAACCTTCCATTACATTATACACTATATTTACCTTTTCCTTTGAGACTAAGTTGCATGAACCTCCAAAAATGAGTTGGCAAAAAGTGTTATGATGATAATTCTTACTAATTATTACAAGTTAACTACTAATTCCACAAAAAATGTAAACTAGTGTTTTACAAAACAACAAGTGAGATTGGGTTTGTACAATCCTTACAAACTGAAAAAATACAGAAAATACAGCAATTATGTTTAAAATTATGTTTTAATTAAATATCGTGATGATATTTTATTAAAAACATTACTATTTACGCTATATTGTTAGCACTTACAAGTTTTTACAATGTTTTGTCAATATTTGTCTCAACGTAATATTTGTCTCTTAACGAAAATGGTTAAGTTTTACTGTCTGTGAGACTCATTTTGAAACCTCTACAAGTCAGTTTTAGGCAAAACATTGCTATAATTTCACTTTTCAATTTATTTATTTATTTTTTTAAACTTTTACTTTGTGAGTAAACCCCTAAAAACTCACAGATTTAGTACTGGTATCATTACTTCAACAAAAAAAAAATTAAATTTCTGTTTGATGCTGCTAGTGGTTCAGGCTTCATATTTGAAAGTTCCCCTCATTGGGGACTTGTGTGTGTGTCTGCTTTGGAAAGAAGGTACCACTTTATGACATTATGAAAACCGATGTTCGTTAACTTAGCAGGATTGTAGAAAACGCAGGATAGTCTCTCTGTGCTGTACAATCAGAGTTGTTTCATTCCGTGCTTTAGGTTTGTTGGCTATATGTTGCGTAACCTATAATAGAGAGATGATCCAGATGCAGCATTTAGGATTTGTTTTAGTATAACGAGTCAAGAGCCTCTCTGCCCAGAATCCCTCCCACAACACAGTCAAAGAAGTGTTTGCCCACAGCATCACAGCAGCTCTGCATCAGAATACTCACCCCCTTCTCCTCCCGAAACCCCTATGCTCCGTCCCGACCCACCCCTCTAAAGTAGTGTCTAGCTTAGATAGCTCGATGTATGTGAATGTTGGGATTGCTCTAATCATTAATTCCTATCCCAGTTGGTTGTCGTGGAAAAGGAGTTCCTATTTGATAGAAGGCTTGGCTCTGT